CCAGTGTATTAGTGTGCTAGGGCTGCCATAGCAGAGTTCCACAGACTGAGGGCTTAAACGATAGAAGTATATTATCTCGTAATTCTGGGGCGGGAGGTTAAGGTGCCAGCAGGCTGTTTGCCCTGAGGCCTCTCTCCGTGGTTTGCAGATGGCCGTTTTCTCCCTGTGTCTTCACATGGTCTTCCCTCTGTGTGTGTCTGTGTCATCATCTCTTCTTACACAGTCATACTGGATTAGGGCCCATCCCAGTGACCTCACGTTACCTTAATTACCTCTTTAAAGACCCTATCTCCAAATACAGTCGCATGCTGAGGTCTTAGGGGCTAGGACTTCAACAGCTGAAGTTGAGGGAGACACAGTTCAGTCCACAGTTGGTCAGATATACAAAGTCCTGGCCCCTCTGGCCATCCTCCCAGGGCATGACCACTCTGCTCTGGACCCCATCCTAGAACAACATCACCTCTGACCTACACTGGCTCTGCAGAGGAGTGACCACATGTAACACCCACCTCCACACCCCTGTTAGGGATTTGAGGGTGGTTTGATCCATCCTTGGGCCAACCTGGCCTTGGGAGCCCAGGAAGGGCCAGCCACTGGGGCCAGGAGCAGAGCAAAACAGGAAGGAGGTGGAGGCGAGGAGGCCACAGGCACCCAGAGCCTGGGCTAGGGGCTGTCCTGGTCCCCACTGCCACCTACTATGTTTTAGAGCAGATCCAAGGCAGCAAGCTGGCAGGGCTCTCTTCTGCCCGCCCTGGGCAGCAGGACCAAGCTAGGGAAGCAGCCTCACATGGCCCCATCTTCTCCCTTTGCCTCTGGCTCAGGAATCTTGTGGCCTCTCCCTGCCCCTGCCCTAGGGCAGCCTGCACCCCTGTTCCCCCCCACAGTCCAGGCTGGGCCACTGTGGTATCACAGACAGGGAAACAGTGGCCCAGGGAGGGGAGGGGCCTCCCTGCCCGGGAAGAGGCAGCCCTCAGCCCACCCTGAGAGCTCAGCGAGGCCAGGGCGGAGGCCTTATTTGTCCGGCAGAGGCTGTGTGGCCCCAAGCCCTGGCGGGGGATCAGCAGACACAGCTTCTGGCCCACACCACCACTGATTTACAGTTTGACTTGAGACAAGCCCTTTCCTGCCTGGGCCTCAGTTTCCCCGACTATGAACCAAGGAGATTGATTAAATGACCCTGAGGCTTCCTCCCACTCTGCTCTTCTGCTCCCTCAACCCCCAAATTCCACAATCCTCCCTCTGGGAAAAAAATGGGAGGCTACAAATCCTCGTAACAGAAGTGGCAACATGGGGTCCCAGGGTTCTTCTCCCGCTGCAGGAGCCACAGGAGTGGGAAAATGCCTGCTGGCCAGGTCAGCAGACATGGAAGGCCCTGGGCCACCTCCTTGCTAGCACACCGGTTGCCCCCTGGGGAGCTTGGGCTGGACGTGCCCTTTAGTCTGCAGGAGCTTCCGGCCACCTGCAGGAAGGGGGCTGCCAGGATGAAGCAGGGCAGGGTCCCTTCTCAGGCCTCGAGTGATGCAGAGACTTGGTCAAAGCCACACAGCAAATCTGTGGCAGAATCAGGACTAGAATCCAGGTCCCCCACGGAACCTGCCCAGCAGGGAGCGGGGAAAGGACGGTAGCTGAGAGTCCCTCTGTGGAAACACCTCCTGGCCCCTTGTACGCACCCCTGGATCCCCCAGAATGTTAATGCTCCCCAACTGGTCTGCAGGTTATAAACCTTCTCCCACCAAGGACCTCCTTTATCACGGTTTCCCCAGGACCTGAATTTGCACGTTTTTTGTTGGTCTTGGTTTTTTGCCTACAGAACACTTTGCAATGCAATGAGGAGTTAGGATACTTTACCTTTTGTGCATCATAATCGGACTGCATCGCCTACCGAGGCAGTTTCTCATTCCAGCCAGACGTGCCCCAGCAGCTCGTTCTTGGGAACTAACTGTACAGCCTGTTTGTCCAGCCCCACTGGGCCTGCCCACTGTTTGGGGCAGTCCCACCACCTAAAGGGGCAGGGGATGAGGACAGCTGAGCTCACCATCGGCCAGGGCACCCGCCAGGCTCCCACAGTCCTCGGACTTCATCTTCACCACACGTGGTCATTCTTTTTTTTTTTTTTTTTTTTTTTTGCCTGTGTTGGGTCTTCGTTGCTGCATGTGGGCTTTCTCTAGTTGTGGCAAGCGGGGGCTACTCTTCGTTGCAGTGCGCGAGCTTCTCCTTGCGATGACTTCTCTTGCTGTGGAGCATGGGCTCTAGGCGCGCGGGCTTCAGTAGTTGTGGCATGTGGGCTCAGTAGTTGTGGCTCACGGGCTCTAGAACGCAGGCTCAGTAGTTGTGGCCCACGGGCTTAGTTGCTCCGTGGCATGTGGGATCTTCCCAGACCAGGGCTCGAACCCGTGTCCCCTGCATTGGCAGGCGGATTCTCAACCACTGCGCACGTGGCCATTCTTGACCCCTGGCTTCTGCACTGGTCTCTCCCTTGTGGACACAGTCTGCTCCCACTTCCCACCTCAACTCTGTGTTACTGAGTCCAAGCTCATACTGCTCACCACACAACAGGCCAGTAACTTGAGAGATGAGTTGTTGGGGCAAAGAATAGTGACTTTATTCTGAAAGCCAGCAGAACGAGAAGATGCTGACTAGTGTCCCAAAGAACCGTCTTACCGGAGTTCGAATTCAGGCTTCTTTTATACTAAAAGGGGAAGGGGCGTGGCTGGTTGTTGTAAACTTCTTGGTGCTGGAAACCTTTATTCTTGCAGCTTATAGATCTGGTCGATGTTCCTATAAACCTCCAACAAGGCAAATGTTATTCTCCGTTCTGCAACTTTTTAGCTCTATATGAATGGAAAAGTGTTATACCTGTAAAGGTCAGAGCCTTGAGAATAGGTTATCCCGTATATTTCAGGTTGTAGACAACATTCTTTTAGTGATTAACTTGTAGCAAAAGCAATAGAATACACAGGTTAAAGGAAACATATCCAATATGGAGTCAGATTTGTTCTTCCCTCTGACACCTGCAAACCCAGACTCTCAAATTGTTTGAGTCCCATTTGCCCCACCCTCCCTGGCACTTGGAATCTTAGCTTTTAGACCCCAAGTTGCGGTGAGAAGACCCATCCCCTCTCTCCCTCACCCCTCCCCGGTTACTCTCCCACCATGTTCTCTACCCATTGCCCACCCACTGAGGATCAAGAACGGATACTGCTGAGCCTTCTCAGATGTTGCCATGGAGCTTGAGGGCCAGACAGGGGCAGTCAGAGACCTCCAGGTGCGAGCGCCCAATGCCTTCCATTCCCTCCTCCATCTCTCGGTGTCCCTTCCCCCCATCTATGCACCACCAATCCATCCACCATCCCGCCACTCATTCATCCAACACAAATGCCAGTACAGCCTCCTTCCTTCCATCGCCCGTCTATCCAGACTGCATAGACACCTGCCACACAGGGGACATCAAGAGCCACCAATGAGGGCCACAGAAGCAGGGACATCACACAGAAAGGACCACGGCTGCACCACCTGATAAGAGATGAGGCCCTTTCTGTGTTTCTTGTCCCCACCATAGCCCACCAGAGAAGAAAGGGACCCAAAGGACAGGGGGAAGGGGGGTAAAGGAGCAGGCCACCCCACCCCCTCCAAGTCTCTCCAGTAAGGCCCTGGGAACTGAGGAGGTGGGTGTTCAATCAGATGTGAGATTTAACTTTGGACTTTTTCATGCTTGAAAGTAACAAGAAAGTTAACAGAACCGCCAGAGGTGTCAAAAAGGCTGCAAAAAGGCTGCAAACGGGAGGCTGGGCTCCATCAAAGCCAGGCGTAGGAGAAAATGAACAGAAGTCATGGTCAGGTTTGTGAACTGTGACTTGGGATCTGCAAGCTTGGAGAGGGAGCTGGGGAGAGCGGAATTGCTCTGTGTGTCAGTGGGAGATGAATCCTACAGTTCCAATGCCCCCTGGGAGAGGGGAGTGGAGCTGAGAGACAAGCAAAGGGGAGGAGGAGAGAGGAGCCGGGGTGACCAGGCAAAGGGTTGGCGGAAGATCTGGAGATGAACTACTGGACTGGGGGAGGGGAGGGAACAGAGTATCCCCAAAAGGTTTGGAAGAATAGACTTATCTAAGATGCCCTGTAAAGTGTCCTCTGTGTGAGACCTGATATCACCCCTCTCTATGACCCCAAGATCTATGTTCCACTCACCAGTATTTGTCAAGAGGAGGGTTTTATGGAAATGGAGAAGGGGTGAAGTTTCATGTCTGAGTCAGCACAGTACTGAGCAGAAATCGCTCAGGAAGAAGCAAGAATGGCAGGGGAAGTGGTGAAAACATAAGTGTCCAGGGATCTCTGAAACTGTGGAGGATTTTGGACTTTTACTGGACATAAAGTTAGAAGATTAAAGCATCAACTCTGCCTTCCCCCCAGTGATTTCCTCACACACAATCAGAATAAATCTCAAAAGGCGAATCTGACCATGTTTTATAACACCTGCACCCCCAAGCCCCAACACACACACCTAAAACCCTTCACTTTTTCTTGAGTTAAAGGCCCACTTCCTGGCCCGTCCCACAAGGCCTCTGGGGTCTGGGCCCTGCCACACTCTCTAGACATACAGGCTGGCTTTCTCACCTCAGACGTTTCATACCCTACTGACCACAGGACCTTTGTACATGCTGTTCTCTCTGGAACTGCCCCACCCCCACCCCAACCCCCAGTTAACTCACTCACCCTTCAGGGCTCAGCTCAGACAAGCCACTCCTGAGCTCCTGACCAAGTCATCCATCCATCTTGGAATTTACCGCCATGATTACAGTGGCAAAGAGGAATGGAATAACCACAACGTGGCTCAGAGTCCACACCTTAGAACAATCATGATTCATGCCCTGGCACTGGGCACACGTTCCCTGAGTACATCTGAATCCCGAACAAAGTGAAGGTCTGTCATCGAGGGGGCGGGGGGATGGCTGTTAAGTAGACAACCAACAGTGTCTGCACCCTCTTGCAGGGGTGGAGGGGGGCTATCATGTATTCTGGAAAGTGGAATGGAATGGGCAGAAGCATGAATGAACTCACCATGTCTCAGGTCTGGACTCAGACTGGCCTGATGAGATTGTGGGCTGTGTGAGGTATGATGGAGCCTCATTATTGGACAGCTTTTTTTTAATACAGGTAAACTGCAGGTCAAATCATGTCCCCTGGGACACACAAAAAACCCACACAGCAAAACCTCCCACCTCAGCAAAAAGTGAGGCTTTTTGTCTCATCCTCCGACGGAATCCTGGTAAAGACCAGTACAGAGTCCTAGACTAGTGCCATTCAGCTAATCCCTGTATCTGACACCAGTCTGCTTGCTCACCTCCAGCGATGGGATACCCACCAACTCCCACAGAAGCCCATTTCACCTGACCAGACCCCCACCACCGACCCATCATTAAGCCATAAGATCTAATTGGCATATTGTTTAATGGGAACAGAGTTTCAGTTTGGGGTGATGAAAACGTTCTGGAGATGGATGGTGGTGACGGTTGCCCAAGAATGTGAATGTACTTAGTGCCACTGAAAGGTACACTTAAAAATGGTTAAAATGGCCTTTCTGCCCGTGGACACCGCCGAGTAAGCATCGTTGACGTCTCCCCCCCCCACCCCGCCTCCACTACCGTCATGTCTAAGTCAGAGTCACCCAAAGAGCCCAAACAGCTGAGGAATCTCTTCATCGGAGGTCTGAGCTTTGAAACAACCGATGACAGTCTGAGGAGCCATTGTGAGCAGTGGGGAGTGCTCATAGACTGTGTGGTGATGAGGGATCCAGACACCAGGCGCTCCAGAGGCTTCAGGGTTGTCACATACGCCACTGTGGAGGAGGTGGATGCGGCCATGAATGCAAGGCCACACAAGGTGGATGGAAGAGTTGTGGAACCGGAGAGGGCCGTCTCAAGAGAAGATTCTCAAAGACCTGGTGCCCACTCAACTGTGAAAAAGATTTTTATTGGTGGCATTAAAGAAGGTGCTGAAGAACGTCACCTAAGAGATTATTTTGAACAGTGTGGGAAAATTGAACTGACTGAAATCGTGACTGATCGAGGCAGTGGCAAAAAGAGAGGCTTTGCCTTCGTAACCTTTGATGACCATGACTCTGTAGACAAGATTGTCATTCAGAAATACCACACTGTGTATGGCCACAACTGTGAAGTAAGGAAAGCCCCATCTAAGCAAGAGATGGCTAGTGCCTCATCCAGCCAAAGAGGTCGAAGTGGTTCTGGAAACTTTGGTGGTGGTCGTGGAGGAAACCTCAGCGGTCGAGGTGCCTTTGGTGGCAGCCGTGGTGGCGGGGGATACGGTGGCAGTGGAAATGGCTATAATGGATTTGGTAACGGTGGAAGCCATTTTGGAGGTGGTGGAAGCTACAATGATTTTGGCAGTTACAACAATCAATCTTCAAATTTTGGACCCATGAAAGGAGGAGACTTTGGAGGCAGAAGTTCTGGCCCCTATGGTGGTGGAGGCCAAACCCCAAAACCAAGGTGGCTACGGTGGTTCCAGTAGCAGCAGGAGCTACGGCAGTGGCAGGAGGTTTTGATGACTGCCAGGAAACAAAGGTCAGCAGGAGAGGAGAGCCAGAGCAGTGACAGGGAAGCTACAGGTTACAACAGATCTGTGAACTCAGCCAAGCACAGCGCTGGCAGGGCCTAGCTGCTACAAAGAAGACGTGTTTTGGACAATACTCGTGTATGGGCAAAAAAACTCGAGGACTGTATTTGTGACTAATTGTATAACAGTTTATTTTAGTTTCTGTTCTGTGGAAAGCGTAAAGCATTCCAACAAAGGGTTTTAATGTCGAATTTTTTTTTTTGCACCCATGCTGTTGATTGCTAAACGTAATAGTCTGATCGTGACGCTGAATAAATGTGTCTTCTTTAAAAATGTGCTGTGTAAAGTCAGTCTACCCTGAAGCCATTTTGGTAAACTACCCCAACAGTGTGAAGTTAGTATTCCTTCAGGGTGATGCCAGGTTCCATTCAAAATGTATTTACAACCTGCTTTGGTGGAGAAGCTACTGTCTTCCGAAACCTTGGTGTAGTTGAACTGACAGTTACTGCGTTGTGACCTGGACGTCACCGTGAAAAGGGTCACCCAAGCCAAGTCATGGAGCTTTTTGATTATTAATATGATTGTTGGCACATCCTATGCAATATATCTAAAGTGGATTATGGTACCAGATATAGATGGGAATGAAGCTTGTGTATCATCCGTTATCATGTGTAATAGATAAACAATTTAATACCCTCTTGAAAAAAAAAAAAGGTTAAAATGGTAAATTTTATGTTATGTAGTTTTACCATAATTTTTTAAAAAAAAAGTGCTCTGGGCTTCAAAACTTACAAGCTTGTGTGGCTTTGAGTGCTTTTATTTATTTTTTATTTATTTTTATTAATTTTTTTGGAGTATAAGTGTTTTACAATGTCGTGTTAGTTTCTACTGTACAGCAAGGTGAATCAGCTATACGCATACATATATCCCCTCTTTTTTGGATTTCCTTCCCATTTAGGTCACCACAGAGCACTGAGTGAAGTTCCCTGTGCTAAACAGTAGGTTCTCATTAGTTATCTGTTTTATACTCAGTATCGATAGTGTATAGATGTCAATCCCAATCTCCCAGTTCGTCCCACCCACCCACCCCTTCCCCCTTGGTATCCATACGTTTGTTCTCTACATCTGTGTCTCTATTTCTGCTTTGCAAATAAGATCATCTATACCATTTTTTGAGTACTTTAAAAGTAACCATTTAAAGGTTACTCTAAAAACATATATAATTAAGAGTTCAGGGACTTCCCTGGTGGTCCAGTGGTTAAGAATCCGCCTTCCAGCGCAGGGGACACAGGTTCGATCCCTGGTCAGGGAACTAAGATCCCACATGCCGTGGGGCAACTAAGCCCACGTGCCACAACGAGAGGGAAGCCCGTGCGCCGAGACGAAGATCCCACGTGCCGTGACTAAGACCCAATGCAGCCAAATAAATAATTTTTTTAAAAACAAACCAAAAAATAGTTAAGGCAAACTCTTAGTGCGCCCCGTGCTGTTTGATCCTGATTTGCTTTCATTCAGGCCTCGGAAATCTGGGCTCAGTATTTCCACCTTCAAGTCCTGCCTCTGCCCCCGCAGGGATTATAGTCACCGTGACCCTCCCCTGCTATGAGCCTACTATGTACTAGGCTCTGAGGCTCTGAGGATGCGTCAAGGAATAAGTCAGAGCCCTCGTCCTCCCTGACACACAGGGAAAAATCAGAATTTTTCTTTTCTTTTTGTTAGTAAAAACCTACAGGGCTCCAGTCTCCGTGAAACCTGCCGGGCTGGCCCACAATGATTCATCCTTGAAGACCTCACCTGGGTAGAATGGTGACAGTGGTACAGAATGACACTGGTCCCTGAGCACTCAGCACACGGAATGTTTGTTTGGTGCAATGTGTGGCCTCCTGGGAATGTCGGGTGACACATGACAGCGTGGGGATGTGTGGAAGGACAGGAGGCAGGAATTGCCATCTCTGAAATCTCATCCTAGATCAACCCCACCTGACCCGCCCAGGAATCACAGACCCACCAATCAGAGAACCGGATGGAGAACAGGAGGGAGTGGAAGACCCAGATAACCCACAGGGCTCACACTGGCAGCTCGCGCGCCATGGCAAGTCTTGTAAGGGGATTTTTTTTTTTCAATTGAGTTTATTGTCAATGTCCAAAAAAAAAAAAAAATAACCTGTGAAATTTCTCGTTTCTCTTTTTAAAATAAATAAATAAAAGAGCGTGTCTTTCATGGCAAGAGCTGGCTGGAGCTGAGTTCCAACTGCTCCCTTTGGACGGGACCCATGGGCCCCAACAGTCCCTACCCCTTAACTTCCCTTACTCACATTGCCTGCCGGGCCTCCTGGAGGCCTCTGAGGTCAGGATTTCTGATCTAATCCAACATCTCTATCTCACAGAGGAGTCTGATGAAGTCCAGAGGGGGAGTGACTTTCCCAGTAAGTAACTCATCTGGGACGAGAAAGATCTAGAATCTCAGGGGGCCCACCCAGCGTCCACCGCAATCCTCCAAAGAGCCTCCGGAGTGGCTCTGCTGATGGGCAGCAAAGTGGACTTGCCTGTGTGGTGAGGCGAGCAGGTGGCTCATTGGGAAACCTGAGGAGACGGCCAGTCAGGCACCCCGTCCAGCTGCAGACGTGCCCCACTCCAAGGGGACACAGACGAACGAGGCGCGGTCCTCACCCCTCGCCACAATTCCTGTGTCCCCTGGTCTAACCTTGACTCCCTGTTGCCTCACCAGCTCTGGGAGCCCTGGTTCTTCATCTGTAAAGTGGGGGTCCTCATCGCGGCAGGCAGAATTGAGGTTCCCCTCCCCCGCGTGTGTAGGAAACAGCAGGTGTGCAAGTTGAAAGTCACTTGGGGAGGAGCGTGGGAAGGAAGTGGGCTGACGAGGACAGAGAGGAAGGAGAGATGAGGCAGCCGCCACAAGAAGAGGGACCTGGGAAAGAGCAGCGATGGTTACGGGGGCGCCAGTCAGGATGCGCTGGGTGATGCTGAGGTAAGAAACAATCCCTCCTCTCAGCCACTCCCCTCTTTTACTCATTTTTTACCCAGTTTTATTGACATATAATTGACATAGAAGTTTGTATTAGTTTCAGGTGTACAATGAATGCCCACCCTCCCAGGGGCTCTGGGGGAAGATCATGGCTCCAGGCTTAGAGCAGCAACCTCCTCAGATGTCTTTCACATGGTCCACAGCGTTGACTGCGCCCCAGTGTCCCCAAGCCCTGAGTCCTGTGCCTTGCAGAGAATCCTGTGACATTCCAGATTCAGGCCATGCCTTTCCTCCTGTGCGGGGTTCGCTCAAGTTCCAGCTCTTCCCCACCTCTACCTCCCTCCTGCTCACTCACTTCGGGGAGAGGAGAAGGCAGCAGGGGGCAGGACCAGGGCACTCATTTCTCAATCATCATAATTATAAAAACATATCCACATGCAACTAGAGAGTGTCATACTAAGTGAAGTAAGTCAGAAAGAGAAAGACAAATACCATACGATACCACTTATATGTGGAATCTAAAATATGACACAAATGAACCTACCTATGAAACAGAAACAGAATCACCAACATAGAGAACAGACTGGTGGTTGCCAAGGGGGAGGGGGTTGGGGGAGGGCTAGAGTGGAAGGCTGGGGTTAGCAGATGTAAGCTTTTATATATAGGATGGATACACAGCAAGGTCCTACTGTATAGCACAGGGAACTATATTCAATATCCTATGATAGGGACTTCCCTGGTGGTCCAGTGGTTAAGAATCTGCCTTCCAATGTGGGGGACACGGGTTCAATCTCTCATCGGGGAACTAAGATCCCACAGGCCACAGGGCAAATGAGCCTGCGTGCTGCACCTACTGAGCCTGCACACCACAACTACAGAGCCCACGCGCTTTGGAGCCCATGAGCCACAACTAGAGAGAAACCCGCACAATGCGACAAAGAGCCCGCATGCCACAACTAAGACCCGACACAGCCAAAAATAAATAAATATATTTTTTAAATCATATGATAAACCATAATGGAAAAGAATATTTTTAAAAAGGATGTATATATGTATGTATAACTGAATCACTTTGCTGTACAGCAGAAATTAACACATCGTAAATCAACTGTACTTCAATTTTTAAAATATTAAAACAGAAAAAAAAAGAATAGCCTAGAGGAATGAAGTGATTGAGAAAAAAATAGTTGACAAATCACATGGAAAAGCTTCTTTTAAAAACTGTTTTTTATATGTCACTTTTTATTAAAAAGAAAATATCAGTTACAAATTTTAAAACAACATATCCACGGAATAGTTACTTTTTATTGCACAGTTATAACAAGCCAGGCACAATGCTAAATATTTGACATGGATAATTTGATTTCACACAAGCTAGGAGGTAGATACTATAATTATCCCCATTTTACAGATAAGAAAACCCAGGCACAGAGACAGTAATAGACTTGGCCAGGTCACACGGCTTATTACTAATGGGATTCAAAGCCAGGTCTAGATGTGTTTAACCACCAGGCTTTATAAAGAAGGAATAGCATCGTTTATAAGTCTGTTTCCCTTTGTTTAGTGAGCATCTCGCACTTGACACAAAGGCACTTTTCCTAAAAGTCCTACATAATCAGTCATAGGCCTAATAAAGGCAAATTAAAAATCTGGTAATAAAAAGCATCTAAACTCTGCCACCAGCTAACTGGATCTCAGTTTCCTTATTTACCTTATGAGGAGGTTTAACTTAACCACATAGTATTCTTGCCAAAAATGTTTTGCCAGAATCTAATCAGGAGAAAAAAGACAAATCTAGAACATGGGTCATTTTCTTTTTTTCCTTTTTTTCTTTTCTTTTTTTTTGATCTTTATTGGAGTATAATTGCTTTACAATACCGTGTTAGTTTCTGTTGCACAACAAAGGGAATCAGCCATATGCATACAAATGTCCCCGTATCCCCTCCCTGTTGAGCCTCCCTCCCAACCTCCCTATCCCACCCCTCTAGGTCATCACAAAGCACCGAGCCATCTCCCTGTGCTATGCGGCTGCTTCCCACCAGCCAACTATTTTACATTCAGTAGTGTATATATGTCGATGCTACTCTCACTTCACCCCAGCTTCAACCTCCCACCTCATGTCTTCAAGTCCATTCTCTATGTCTACCTCTTTATTCCTGCCCTGCAACTAGGTTCATCAGTACCATTTTTTTTTTTTTAGATTCCATATATATGCGTTAGCATACGGTATTTGTTTTTCTCTTTCTGACTTACTTCACTAAATATGACAGGCTCTAGGTCCATCCACCTCACTACAAATAACTCAATTTCGTTTCTTTTTATGGCTGAGTAAT